TTATTTTTGTTAATTACTCTCATATAAACAAACTGTTGAAGAGGAGTTATTTTGTTTCTGTTCAAAGTTTTATTTATTTTAAACAGGACATTTTTATTGCTTTGTTAATTTTTAACAGGATAAAGAGTCCTAACGCAGAGAAAAACTATAAATAATAAGTGATGACTAAAAGTAACTTAAGTGGCAAAAAAAAAGGTTAAAAGACTTTTATTTTGGCGTGGATTGTGACGTCATAAGCCTGCGCCGCTCCCGCGCTGTGATTCAACTGGAGAAAGGTTTGTTTTAAAGCGTTTACACTTATATAAAGCGATTGATTAAAGTTTGTTTTTTTCATTCAGTGCTAAATTATGTACCTGCTGTTGGCAATATTATTTTAACCCTTTATACAACGTAGTACTATTTAACTCACAGTAATGAGGTCTATTGTTTGAATAAAGATAGGATAAACTTTTTGTCCCTGAGAGGAAATTTGTCTTGGGCAAAAAAAATGCTACACGTTGCTGTAAGCAGACAATAAAGTAAATAAAACAAACAACAATTAAGAACATACTCAAATAAAGTTACAGGGATGTAACAGTATGTAATAAGTGTTTTAATGAAGGTTTACTTTATTAAATAGTATAATGTCATTCCATTCTAAGTATACATCACTATAAGAAATGGAGTACTAGTTTTAATCAGGTCATTTGTGGCTTTTGTTTCTTGCTCTGACTTGCCTGATTTCTTTTTGTTAATTTCTTTCATACAAAGAGAGTGTTGAAGCAAGCGTTGAAGAGAAGTTACTTCTGTTCATTGTTTTATTTATTTAAAACAGGACATTTTTTTTGTTTTGTTCATTTTAAACAGGATAAAGTGTCCAAACACAGAGAAAAACTGCTGCTGAAGCGACTGATCTCCACACTGTTATAAAGATGGCGTTCATTAAAGAGGAGAGTGAAGATGTGAAGATTGAAGAAACATTCACAGTCAAACAGGAAGATCTGCAGGAACAAACAGGTTGATTTTCATTCTCAAAGACCAACTCAGTCATCTGATCCTCATTCAGATATATTTTTATAATAAGAATACTAAATTAAATCCATCTTGCAGCCCTGAGTGTGCTGCCTAGTTCTCCTAAATGCACATAAGCACTCATTGAAAGACATGAATTTCATTTGTTACTTGTTCTCATGTCTTTTGTCATTCTTTTATATATTATTAGTCTCCCATTTTCATCATCGTGGGCCAAAAATATCGTTATCGTGAAGATAATACGATTAATCTCGCAATCTATATACCCTTTCATAATGTTTTTGGCTGTTTTTGACCCATTGACTTCTATTATAATCACATTTTTTAACCGCAAAGCCATGACACCAAATAATCATGCATTCTAGATTGTTGCCGTTTTCCTTGTTGGGAAGAGGTCAAATGTGTCATTTTTACTGTTGATCATCAGCTGGCTGCATTCACCCTTTAGATGGGCCTGTTCAAAAAATTAAAACAGCAGAATATAGTGTGCGTGCATAAATACACTTTGTAGGGGGACCAACAGTTTTAACCCAAAAATGACCAGTCTATCAGATGAAGAAGAGCTGTAGTCAGAGATTCAATTAAAAGAAAGTTTATTGTAGATAGTTTGCAGTTTCATCAGCAGAGGTCAGCTTAAACACTTACAACAAGTTTGTAGACCGATTTACATACAATCTCAGAACAACAACAATTAGATGTCTAGAATTCCCTCTTTTCTCTCTATGCAAACTGTTTTAAGAAATGCGTCAGTAAAGTGCACTGAAACTTCACAAAAACAAAACACACAGATTACTGGAAGGGAATATTTCAACCTATCAGTTTACAATATACTGATGCCCTGTTTTTCTAGGCTTTATTGGTGATAATGGTCAGAAACGTTGGACCATTATTGCCTTTTTAGCATAAGCAGAGGAGAGAAACTAGCCATACATGTGTGAATTGTGGAGCGGGCTAAATCTAAAGAAACATGTATTTTTTAGTAAGTGTACCTTTTTTTTTTTTTTTGCTTTTATTCTTGCCATAATAAAAATATGTATTTGAAGAGCAACCCATGTTCTGCTGTCATTAATATTTTAATAAATTATAATAGTTAGAACTGTCCGAGATATGAACAAAAGCAAGTGATGCACCAAAGTTTGATAAAAAAAAAAATCTTTAATGGTCATAAAAATCCTTATAATCATTAAAATAATTTATAAAAACAAAAAATCTATTTTGTTTAAAAACATTGAACGATATTAATGAAATATATGAAGTATCGGAAACTTTCTACTTCTCTGTTTATCCATCTGACTTTACAATGGGTTTCTTTTGACCGCCCCCTGTCGTTTTAAAGAATATCACAATGGCGAACGTGGCGAGTAAGGCATTGTCCATTTCGAGAGGTGAGCGTGCAGTCAGCGGTGGTGCATGATGCGATGCTAGGCTAGAGTATTCACCTTATTCTTTGCCAACAAGCGGGCGCAGACATTTGAATCTTTATGGCACGAGACTTCCGGTCTTTCACTTACATTCATTTCTCGACATTAAAAACTGCTATTTTCGCTGTTTGATGTTGCAAACTGATATTTCCTTAATATATTATTCTACTTGGTCTGTATAGTCATGCAAACATTTGCTTGTAGAGCAAGTAGTTTGACCATTTTCTGCCGTTTATTATTTCTAGTCATTTCTCCCATAGGCGACTGAATCGGAAGTTCTAAAACAATCGCGAAAACAGGCGCACTTCCGCATTTTAGACTAAGGTCAATAAATCCAGCTTCTCTCTCTTTCTCTCACACTCACACACACACACACACACGCACACACTATACTCCATATAAAAGGCAGAAACTTTTTTGCACTGAAACTGATAATCAATTTTAAAAATCACAAATCTCTTCCCAACAGGAATGTAACGGTGATGTGGGAATGGTGATCCCCCCAAAAAAATACAATAAACAAATATTAAACAAATATGTTTGTCACTTGTTTTTAAGTAGTTAATCTTGGGCGCCAGACAGAATATCTGTCAAAATACATTTCAAACAAAATATACCACGGCTAGCTCTCACCACCAGTTACAAATATAAAAAAATAAATAAAATAACAAACAATGAGAACCAGAAAAAACTCAGATAATTGCTGTAATTGTCTAAATAAAGTTTGTATTAGTCAATAATAATAATAAAAAATACTTTTCACACACAAACAGCAGTATCAACAACAAAACAAACAATATAACAATGAAACACAGAACCCTCAGCACTTATAACTCAAATGAAAGAAAAAAATGCAAATGATTTCAGGCCAGCAGATTCGTCACATTTGAAAACGGGGAAAATAATAATGATAACAATAGTACAGGGAGAAAACAAAACAATAAAAACAAAATGAGCATTTGGGCAAAGAAAACAAAAACTTTTGCTTCTTACCCACGGAGTGGAGGGGTCAAGGGACATGAGTGGGGAATGGCGAATGTGGATGTGAAGGTTGAGGGTGTTGGTGAACCCAGCCGGTGAGTTGGCAGCTGACTCCATGCCAGCGAGATAAATCAGTAAGTTGATTTTGTTCAGGACACACTGCACTGAAGTCTTTAGTGACGCACACGTCACGTGCACTTCAGTAACAAGACAGCGGTCTTTGCTCTGTTGCTTCAATACATACTTCCGCTTTTTGTTTCTCACAGCCAGTCGTTAAGTTTACACTGCTCATCTCGACCCGACTTCTCTACTCGTTTCCCCACACTGCAACAGTTCAGTCAACTTCTCTTTCTTCTACACACCACATAATGCTGCCTTCTTTAACTCTCCTCCTCCTCCTTTATTCTCTCACCCATTTTCTTTTTGCCGTCTCATGGGTGGAGACCAATTAAACAATGTCGTCACAAAGAACACCAACAATCATAAATTCATGAATATGTGCTGTCATGGCTTTGCAATAAAAATGTTCTTATAATAGAGGTCAATGGAGAAAAAACAGCCATGAATATGACGAAAAGGGAGTAAATTTGCCCAGAGTGTATTGAGTGAAAAATTTTAAAGCATTTTCCCATTGATGGGTAACTCATTGTGTCTTGATGAATTTATTACTCTCATTTATATGCCTATTTGAGTAATTTCCATGTTGTTGTTGTTGTTGTTATTATTATTTATTGTATTTTATTTGCACTATAAAAAATTTTATAATAGAGGCCAATGGAGCATTTTTCCAGAATATGTCAAAATAAGATGTCCCCAAATATCAGACCATTTGCTGAAACACTGAGAACGTTTTGGCCAAATTAAGCCTCAAAATCACCCCAGAATGGATGAAAATGACCCAACAGCACACAAGGGGAAAGGTGCACATTCCAGCCTTTATGCAGATGCTGTACAGGTATGTCTCATATCTGTGAGGCAAATATTCAGCTGTTACCCCAGAACTTTTTTTCTGATACATTTACCAGTCAGGCACACAATGAACAAGTGTTCCCTGTCTGCTTTACAAATCGTAGAAATCTGTGTCTTATCAATATGACCAAAATGACCTTTATGAAAAACTCTGAAAACTGGACTGACACTGTTTAAATTTACTATAACTTCTATGTTAAGCGGCTTTGACACAATTTACATTGTAAAAGCACTAGATAAATAAAGATGAATTGAATTGAATCTGCCTAAATGTGTACACGTTAATGGACCAAACAAAATATGATCTGATTAATTTGACATTCAATGTGCATCAAAATTACAATGTGTGTGTAGCCAATGTTTCCAGTGTCTTTTCACTTTTCAGCTTTTGATGAGAGTTTTTAAGATTTAATGAAAACTAATGTTTTATTTATTTCAGACCTAATTGAAGAGAATGAGGAGAGTAAAGAGGAGGAACATCATGTCAAAATTGTGGAAAAAACTCATTTACAGACTGATGGTATTTTGAAAAGGAGAGACAAGAATCGTTTCACCTGCACTCAGTGTGGAAAGAGTTTCGCAACCAAAAGCAAACTTAAGATTCACATAATGATCCACACCGGAGAGAAACCATTTACATGCACTCAGTGTGGGAAGAGTTTTAACCAATTATCTCACCTTAATTATCACATGATGATCCACACTGGAAAGAAACCATTCGCATGCACTCAGTGTGCGAAGAGTTTCAAGCAATCATCACACCTTAATCTACACATGATGATCCACACTGGAGAGAAACCCTTCACATGCACTCATTGTGGGAAAAGTTTTAACTGCTCATCACACCTTAATCAACACATGAGGATCCACACTGGAGAGAAACCATACGCATGCACTCAGTGTGGGAAGAGTTTCAACCAATCATCTCACCTTAATTATCACATGATGATTCACACTGGAAAGAAACCATTCACATGCACTCAGTGTGCGAAGAGTTTCAACCAATCATCACACCTTAATCAACACATGAGGATACACACTGGAGAGAAACCCTTCGCATGCACTCAGTGTGGGAAGAGTTTTAACTGCTCAACAAACTTTGATAACCACATGAGGATCCACACTGGAGAGAAACCATTCACATGCACTCAGTGTGGGAAGAGTTTCAGCCAATTATCCAACCTTAATCTACACATGATGATCCACACTGGAGAGAAACCATACGCATGCACTCAGTGTGGGAAGAGTTTTTACTGCTCAACAAACCTTAATCACCATATGAGGATCCACACTAGAGAGAAATCATTCACATGCACTCAATGTGGGGAGAGTTTCAGCAAAGCATCATCCCTTAATAAACACGTTGAAGGAACTCATGGGCATATTGCAGTGGTCAACACGAGTTGAATCTGAAATCTTGGGCATCTGCAAATTGTCTCAGTCATTGAACTGGCTTAAGGGCTTAAACCATCACGATAACAAAGCACCAATTGATTTTGGGTTATTCTGACCAATACTCTGGCTGCAGATGTTCCAGGTACCCTTCAGCAAAATTAGTAAATGATTTAAACTAAACAAAGGGGCTTTACGGGA